TATCTTCAATGGTTGATTTTAGATTATGCATATATAACTTGAATATAATAAATTAAGTTTATTACTATTGTTTTTCAGACATGTATCAATTTAAAAAGAGATGTCTAGAAGGGTTGATCATTTCTTACTCATTAGACCAAATAGTTATAGGCCAAAGAGAAAAATATTATTATTTAAAGATTCTTCATATTAGTGTCTTTTATTATTCTAGAAACACATAATGTGGATTTATAAATTAGCTTTCTAGAATACAAGATCTGTTCTAGGAGATGGTGGAGGACAAAAGAAGAGAGAACCATAATGGTTTTTGACCAAGAAATTAAGATTCAAGTAAGATGTATGATAATAACCATTGGCATTTAGACACTCTGCCATCAAGATAGCATTTACTATCTTGATAGATTCCAGTTTACAAGATCTTGTAAAATCAGCTCCCCTATTTAAACGTCCATATAAATTAGATATACCATTATCAAGATCTAGCATAACATGAGCAAATCCTCCATCTCCGGTCTTGGTTATTGCTACAAGCATCACAATTCTAGCTGCTACATAAACGCGTAAGCGTACTTCAGAGGCACTTGCTTCAAATCTACCACATACTTCCTAGTAAACAAGAAGCTTAACACTAATAAAGTGAAAAACTACTACTGTGAAATATATACCTCTGGAATTTGGTCTACACTAATGGTATCTGTAATGTTCATCCACAACTTAGTTTTATTTGTACTCCCAGATATATTTATGTTGCTTGAGTTTCTAGCTTGAATTGAACTGTAACATATAAACAGGATTAGAAGGAACAATAGGAAGCACTTATCAAGAGCCATAGCTTCTTAGCTTGTTGAGTGAGATATGTGTAATATATATATATATATATATATATATATATATAAAACCTGGCAAATTGATTTTGTGTATTCTAAGCGTTACCAACTGTCACCTTTTGCAAGATTCACTTAAATGCATCTTGTGGATTGTTAGAGTTTCACATGCATTCTTTGTGTAATTCACCAGCTTCCATATGGCTGGCTTGTCTTTTAGCATTTTGTTGTAGTTTTGGTTTAAATTAGCAAGGAAACAATTAAAAATGACATAGAGACAAAATGCCGATTCACGGAACGTGACTTCCATTTTCATCAGCCAATACACGCTGTGAAAGATACACCGTCGAAGAACTTCAAACTAACTCACTTTCAAAAAGTACCTGAAAGCAAGCGAGGGTGTATCGTACATCATCCTCCGAAATGTGATAATGTGTCACCAGTCGGATACTGAAAAGAAACAAAACCAAACAAACCTTAAAAAAGTAAGTTGAAAGAAATGAACAGGATACCTTGTCTTGGTCAGGTCATACGAGAGAATCCCAATCTTTCCCATAGCTCTGCACAGTTCTTCCGCTGTGAAGCATGACTTGGTCACGTCCACATTTACCTGGAAGATAAAATAGCACTAGTCAAGATAAAGAGAAGAACACACTTTACAATGTTTGTCTCGACGGCACTCATGTCCACCTGCAGGCCTTTCATTCCACACAATCCTTCTGGAAACATTCCACTCAAGAATTTTGATAGTGGCCCAAGAAAAGCACGAACTACACAGTACCTGCTAATAGACGGGCATTGGAGTGATCTTCGTACAATCTGCAAACCATGTCTTTCAGCGTTACCAGACCAGGAGCAGCCAGTATTCCTACTTGTCTCATAGCTCCACCCAAAGCCTTTCGCAGTCGTTTAGCGCGAGGCCTAGAATAGAGGGGCTGAGCGACGGCCGCATCTGCGACAGCGATCCCCGCCTCCCGCCATCGTCATCCATGTCGCAAGACGATCTTCCCTCCCAAGAGCCCTAGAAATATTTCTCTGTCCCTAAAATACCGTTTGGTAGACGGAGCAAAGTTTCCGTTAGATGGCAAACATAGATCCAAAGAACTGATATGCCAAATTGTATTGGTTTTACCAGCAAATACTGGACGAGCTTAAGTGGGATAGCAGAATAATATTGGAAAGGAAATAGGTGCAAGGAATTCTTTCAGTATGAGAGCAAGTGACTTCATTTATACCCTAACTTAGTTTACCTTTAAGCCAAAGTCCAATCAATCCACTTATATAACTTCCAATAATGCATCAATAAGATTTGGAAGAGTTGGTGTCTTACTTAACAACAGTGGCTTCCCTCATTAGTAGCTATACACCTCTTGATTAGAGCTTGTAAAGTTTGTAATGCTACAAAAATGTAGTGTCACATTTTGTGGGAGTGCTTAGTGTATAGAAGGGCTCCATAGTGATTATGAAGTGTAATTGCCAAGGAGGAGTAGAAATCACGTGTTTTGGGGTGTCTTCATCCAAGGGAAGATAAAACACCAAACACTTGGAAATAAAAACACAATGAAGAATCTCACTTTATCAACTCAACCCTTCATATATATACATTATGCATCTTTTATAGGAGATTTTTTATGTTCTTTGAGGATGTATACTTGCAAAGATTTGGAAGGCTTGTTACACTAGATTATTCAATGACAAGAACCCTTCAGCTTGAGCAATGATCTTGAAGGTCTAGTCCAAATTAATGGTCTCTTTAGAAACACAATTGGATATGATTAAGAAAAGAAGAGATAAAAGGATTTAGACCACGTGTGCCTCGAGCTGGCTGGCCCTCATTCATTCATGCATTCAATAGACATATGAAGAGCTAACCACCCCGAGTCCTTCAGATGGAAAAGAAGTTGCATAAGAATGAGCATTCTAGCCCTTTTTTAGAGAAGTGAGGTTGGAGAGGAAAAATGAACATGGAAACCATTATTGGGGGCTCTGGCAGCATGTCTAAGAAAGAGGGCAGGTGTATTCCCTAAGTTCTTTAAATTTTTCATTAAGTAGTTCAAGCATTTGGGACATATTGTCTATAGACCCGACCCCATCCCCCTCAACCCTCCCCCTGCTTTTGACTTACTCTTTGCTGGCATGTCAAAATAGGCATCTCTATGGTTTTTTAGAGGTTAATAAATGCCCCTTAAATAAAAAAGCCATATACCAAAATTGAATAGGGATATGATGGTGAGCTCATTGTGTCTCCTAAAGCTGCAACAAATGCTAATGACATGAATGAGAATGTGGGAGCACTTAAAGTAAAGTGCACTAGTATTGATATAAATTGACCCTTCAACACAATGTGACTTGTAGGTCTTGACTCACTCCACCATGCTAAAAAAGATAAATGTTACACATATGGAGCATTTTGAAACACTATAGATTTTTGCCCCACACCCACTAAAACACACTTTTGCTGATTGGTGTTTGAGGTTTTGACAAATAAGGTGAGGGCTCCTCAACCATCCCTTCCCACCGAGCCTCCATCTCCTATTATTTATATTGAACCTCTAAGAGATAAACTTGTCTTAATTCTAAAGAACAAATGACTCCTTGACCCCAAGTAAGACTCATATCCATAAACTTACTAAGATGCTCCTTGAATAAATTTCCACCACTTACTTGAGCATACCTTTGATAGTCACTAAAACTGGCTGCAATGGAGAAGCCACTCCCTCCTAAGAACCTTGAATAATGATCTTAGATCCTCTTGTTTGATCATGTTTATGAATTTTTTTCCCCCTACTCAAAAACAATCCCACTTGTGACATGAAAGATGGATTTGGGAAAATGCATGATATAATTGTATAATTAAGTGAAAAAAAATTAATTGAAATAACACTAAAACTATCTCATAATTTTTTATATACAAATATTTTTAAAACATTTTAACTAGTTTTGTGATGAACACAATAATATTTTAAAATAAATAAAAATTAATTGATTTTTATGAAAACCTTTTATTATTTTAATCATTTTTTACCATTTTTCTATACCACTGAATTATTTACACCCACCATCTTAAGCTCCTTATATAAAAGATGTTCTCACTATCATTGCCATTGGTAACTTGTATAAAGCACATAACCTCCCCAATGGACTCAATTTTCTTAAAAACATTTATAGTTATAATTTATCTTCAATGGTCGATTTTAGATTATGTATATTATAACTTGAATATAATAAATTAAGTCTATTACTATTGTTTTTGACATGTATCAATTTAAAAAGAGATGTGTAGAAGGGTTAATCATTTCTTACTCATTAGAACAAATACTTAAAAGGCCAAAGAGAAAAATATTATTATTTAAAGATTCTTCATATTAGTGTTTTTTTATTATTCTAGAAACACAACATTAATGTGGATTTATAAATTAGCTTTCTAGAATACAAGATCTGTTCTAGGAGATGGTGGAGGACAAAAGAAGAGAGAACCAAAATTGTTTCTGACTAAGAAATTAAGATTCAAGTGAGATGTATGATAATAACCATTGGCATTTAGACAATCTGCCACCAAGACAGAATTTGCTAGCGTGAGAGATTCCAGGTTACAAGAGCTTGAAAAATCAGCTCCCCTAGTCAAATGTCCATATGAATTAGATATACCATTAGCAAGATCAAGCAAAACATGAGCAAATCCTCCATCTCCGGTCTTGGTTTTTGCTCCAAGCATCGCAATTCCAGCTAGTGCATAAATCTGTAAGTGTATTTCAGAGGCACTTGCTTCAAATCTACCACATACATCCTAGTAAACAAGAAGCTTAATACTAATAAAGTGGAAAACTACAACCGTGAAATATATACCTCTGGAATTTGGTCTACACTAATGGTATCTGTAATGTTCATCCACAATTTAGTTTTATTTGTACTCCCAGATATATTTGTGCTGCTTGAGTTTCTAGCTTGAATTGAACTGTAACATATAAACAGGATTAGAAGGAACAATAGGAAGCACTTATCAAGAGCCATAGCTTGTTAGCTTGTTGAGTGAGATATGTATAATATATATATATATAGATAGATAGATAGATATAACCTGGCAAATTGATTTTGTGTATTCTAAGCTTTACCAACTGTCATCTTTTGCAAGATTTACTTAAATGCATCTTGTGGATTGTTAGAGTTTCACGTGCATTCACTGTGTAATTCACCAGCTTCTGGCTTGTCTTTAGCATTTTGTGTTTACAGATGTAGTTTTGGTTTAAATTAGCAAGGAAACAATTAAAAATGACATAGAGACAAAATGCCAATTCACGGAACGTGACTTCCATTTTCATCAGCCAATACACGCTGTGAAAGATACACCGTCGAAGAACTTCAAACTAAATCACTTTCAAAAAGTACCTGAAAGCAAGCGAGCGTGTAGCGTACATCATCCTCCGAAATGTGATAATGTGTCACCAGTCGGATACTGAAAAGAAACAAAACCAAACAAACCTTAAAAGTAAGTTGAAAGAAATGAACAGGATACCTTGTCTTGGTCAGGTCATATGAGAGAATCCCAATCTTTCCCATAGCTCTGCACAGTTCTTCCGCTGTGAAGCGTGACTTGGTCACGTCCACATTTACCTGGAAGATAAAATAGCACCAGTCAGGATAAAGAGGGAGAGCAAAATCGTGACACTTCACAATGTTTGTCTCGACTGCGCTCATGTCCACCTGCAGGCCTTTCATTCCACACAATCCTTCTGGAAACGTTCCACTCAAGAATTTTGATAGTGGCCCAAGAAAAGCACGAACTACACAGTACCTGCTAATAGACGAGCATTGGAGTGATCTTCGTACAATCTGCAAACCATGTCTTTCAGCGCTACCAGACCAGGAGCAGCCAGTATTCCTACTTGTCTCATAGCTCCACCCAAAGCCTTTCGCAGTCGTTTAGCCTGTCCCAAAAGGATTTCTCTTCAGAAAATGAAAAGAACACAAAACGAAGCAAAGAGCCGTCTCTCAACCTTCTCAATGAATTCATGCGATCCAACAATCACACTTCCCGCTGGTGCAGCCAATCCTTTTGACAAGCAAACCTGACACGAAGCATTCGTCAAAATTCCCATGAAAACCTCGAGAAAAAATAGTCATACCGATACAGTATCAGCTGCTCGAACAAGTCTTTCCGGAGACACTCCCAGAGCCTGTTGAAAGCAAACACTGTTTCTTTAATATTTCTGCTTCATCGCAGTCAGCACTACTCACTGTGGATGCGTTAAAAATTCGGGCACCGTCTACGTGTAGTCTCAATCCATATCTCTTGGCAAGCTGGCCAACCTGATCCGTGTACTCAACCGAGACGCATCTTCCACCGCATCTAAGGGGTAGTGCATAGCAAAACTATAAGCGAGCACTCGAAACATTCCAGAAACCACGAAGAAACTCTCACCGGTTGTGAGTGTTCTCGATGCAAATCAAGCGAGTCGTCGCAAAGTGCTCGTCGTCCAAAGGCTTGATAGCGTTTTCGACCGCCCTCAAGTCCATGGTTCCATCCGGATTGTTTGGAACAATGCTCGGGAAAACACCGCCCAGCGTTGCCATTCCACCTTGCTCGTAAACATTGATGTGGCTCTCAGACCCGATGATGGCCTCGCTTGCACGGGCCTGGGAAGAAACAAGAAAAATCCACGACCAAAGAACGCGACAATGCCATGCATCATGCTTACCTCACAGTGAACAAGGACGCTGATGAGATTCCCCATCGTACCGGAAGGAACAAACAAGGCGGCCTCTTTCCCAAATATTCTAGCCATTTCTTTCTGGAGCTCGTCCATGGTAGGATCGACCGTGACAATGTCGTCATCAACCTCGGCGCTGGCCATGGCGGCTCGCATCGCCGCTGTCGGCTTGGTGATGGTATCCGATCGAAAATCCACGATTCGTTTCGTTCCATTAGCTCCACAATCCATGGCTGACGAGCAAAATCTGTCCACAGCGAAATATCTCGCAAAGAATCAGCTGGAACACATCGCAGCGCAGCGCCAATCCAGCGCCTTACCTCCCGCGAGAAGAATGCTAGGGATGTTCTTCCCCGCCTGCAAAAGCCCTGCGAGCGGTTCTCTCAAGCAATGGAAAGAAGCTTTTTATACCTACATGCCGTAGCTAAAATGCTGCCACGCGACGGCATCCAGCGCGCCACGTGTCCGGTGGGGATGACACCATGGCAAGAGACACAAACGTAGTATTATCCATAAGAACAAGCTTCTTTGTTTTTCTCCTGTGAGAGAAACCAAGCTACGCTATCTTAGAAGAAACTATGGTTCTCTTGGATGATCTTCAGCCCCGGGTCTTGGATTTCTCGAAGAACGATTCCTGGCAGTGAGGATCCAGCCACTCTGAGCTTTTCCTGGGTGTTGGTGTTGTCACTGGCCTGACTTGCGAGGATTTGGCACCAACGAGATCGCAAATGACTTCCACCTTGTTCTCCCGTCCAAACGTCCCATTGCTCCGGTGGTCGGCATCCCTGAGCTTCTGCTTGAAACGCTGCTTCTTCCCCCCCGCGAAGTTCTCCTGGAGCGACGATGGCTGCCTTAGACCAGGCTTTGCACCGTGAGGGCCCAGGTAGAGATTCTCCACCTGTGTGTTTATCGGCTGTGTTTCAAACCAAAGTTAGAAAAAGAGAAAGATCTTTCCAGCGTGGTAGGCACACCTTCTGCAGTGTTGGCTTTAAAGTCTCCACAGCCTTCTCCTTTCTCGCTGTGGTAGTGGTGTTCAAGCTAGGAATCTCGAATCCCTCGGCATCTATGGAGAAACAAGAAGAAAAACGTGATATGAGTCCCGACCTCTCTGCGACTACAACTAAAACTCCACTCAATCTCTCTGTTTCTCGCAGGGAACGCGGTATTTCCAGAGGAAATCTCGGCAAAACCTGGAGAATGCGCTCCACTTACCCCATTCATCGTCGTCCGGGAGCAGCACCGCTGGCGGCGCGGCGAGCGAGGCAGCCGGATCCATGGCGAGCACCCGAGGCTACGGCTCCGCAGCGCACGCCGGCGCAGCTCATGGAGAGCGGACAGACCAACACAGCTCCCTCTCGCGCGATGGCCGCTCTATCTAGCGCGCTCGTCCCACACAGTACCGAAAACCCTAGCTCAGCCCTAGAGAGCGGCATACGGCTCATTTTTAAACTCGCGTACTAGCGGAATGTGCCTGCCGACCGCAACAGAAGATGCCGGGCAGGCGGAATATTCTCTGCACGCAAGAGTATATTCTCTCGTGTATTATCGTGGACAAAAGAAGAGAGAACCATAGTCGTTCATGACGGCATAGTTAAGGTCGGTTACGCTACTCTGTGTTTCACCCTTTCCATCGTCGCAAGGGATCCTTATCCTGGTTCCGCTGATGGCAATACTTGAAAGATCACACGATTGTGCAAAGTCGCTACCGGCGGGGCCGATATGGCCATTGTGGTTTCCAAGACCATTGTTAAGTTCGAGCTGCACAGTCCCGGTGCCACCACCAGGTGAGCTGCAGGTGGCCACCAACATTGCGATGCCATAGTTTGGAACTACGTGCAAGTGGATTCCCGAGCATGACAGCGAGAAGCCGCCGCAAACGTCCTGCATACATCTCACAAGAATCAGCATGCTGAAATGTGGAAGAAGCTGACAATTTTACTTGGGGCCAAGCTGTGATCTCTTCGGTGTTGCTGTCGCCTGTGGAAAAGATCTCTAAAAACTGAGGCTTTTGACTGTAGTCGATCTCCGGCCAGGCGCTGTGGCTAGAACCAGTGCCGTTGTGCTCTGACTGTGTGTTGTTCGTCACCAGGGAACTTGCGACATGGAGAGAAAGGAAGACTAGAAACAATGGTTTGAAAACGAAGGAAACAGCGGCCATTATATAAAAATATAGATAGATGCTTTGCTTCCAAATCAATAGTTGCCTATGGTACTTGGGTTTGCTGCTTTAATAATTCAGAGACGTCGTTGCGATTGAAGCCAGCTCGCTATACAAAACAAAAACATCGGGAATAGAGACGTACACTGTGCGTTGGGCGGCTCAAGTTTTTCTATCTACATTGCTTTAAGACCTTGACCTTGCTAGAAAGCAAACCACTTTGCGAGACTTCCAATGGTTTTGGTGCTTTCGCTTAAGTTTTCTTTTACACAGTCCAAAGTGTCGTTATTCCCTCCCAAGGGAGATCTAATCTATATCTCGAGCTTTACATGAGATCCAGCTCTATCTTTGTTAATTGGAGACTTTCAAGGCCTTGATGTAGAAACCTTGTAGAGATTTACAGTTCTTTAGTAACCAAGTACATTGTTTGCTTCCGAAACCCAGGTGACATAATCGCTTGGATCACTGAGAACAAAGTGGATCTGTTGTGCATCAACGACAATGAGAAAATAGAGATAAATGCTTGCAGAGAAATCACCTCACCTCGTTGATACACGAAGGAGGATCTTTGATTTCCTGCAACGCAATCCGAGCTCCTTCCCTCACGGGGTATCTGTTTTACGTAGAAAGCGCACGTCCTTTTTCGGAAAAAAACAGCATTACGGTTTTGGTTACCCGTAAACGCCACATGAAATCGGTGGAAACGCCAGACATTCCAGTTCAATCTCCTTTGCACGTTGCAGACAACGCCTACAAAGTAAAACAAACAAACAACAAAAGCGAAAAGAAGAAAAAAGAAAACGAACTTTGTTTCTGGAAAAGAAGCAAAGTTATGCTTTGTCTGAAACTCTACCTGTAAGTCTGAGCAAGCAATGTAGGCGTTTCCTCGGCTCCATCGTAGGCTGGTCCAACTGCATGAATGATCCTGTGCAATGGTAGTCTGTAAGCCCTGGAAGAACAAACACGCAAATCGTGTAAGAGAAACGATTAAAAACTGTGAGCTTGAAGACCTTACTTGGTGACCACCGCGTTGCCAATGCGGCATTTCACTCCAAACTGATCGAGAGATTTTAGCATTGCACAGGCTTCCGCTAGAGATGGTCCAGCAGCGTTATGAATAGCTGGTGAAAGAAAGCAGGTATGATTAGTGAAGGAGCAAATGAAGAACAAGTAGTTCTTGCCTCGATTCACGCCAATTCCAGCGTTTAGCTTCTTGTTTGCGGGAGCAACCTTGCGACCAAGGAGAGAATCTATCAACGAGCGCAATCATAAAGAAAAAGCGAAGAGAGAATGCGAGAGAGTTACTTACAATCGCATCGCGCTGGCCAGGAACTCGCCACTGCGAAATGTCGCCAGTCCAGAAGACGAGCAAGAAGCTGGGCAGTCTGTACAGGACGCCCCCTTCCAGCCCCTCTTGCGATGTCGCCCGCTCCTTGGGCGCATTGGGAGGCAGCAACAGCGACGGCGCTGGCAAATCCTCATCGTATGTAAACCAGTGCTCGTCGGAGATGCATCTGACCTGCGATCGCGCGAGCGCTGGAACCCTCGCCCTCCTCCCCAGGCATCGCAGCATTTCCCCCCGGGCTTAGGGTTTATCATCGCTTTTCAAATTCTAGGGCTCATATAAACCCTAAGGTTATAAAACCTTTCAAATTTTAGGGTTCATAGAAAATGAAGAAGCGCCGAAAATCGGGGCCAGGGAACTCTTCCGATTTCCTCGAGAAATGGATTCGTGCGGAGGCGCTAGCTCCAGGCAGCAATCCCATGGCAATCAAGCTGCCCCGCCAGGTCCTGGTGAATCCAGCCACCGGCTTCAAGCCCTACGCTGGAGCCTCGCGGTTTGATCAGCTCCCTCTCTCCGGCAAGACGCTCAAGGGATTGAAAGAGGCCAAGTATGAATCCATGACAGAGATCCAGCGCGCAGCTCTTCCCCACGCTCTCGCTGGTCGTGATGTTCTTGGAGCAGCAAAGACTGGATCGGGGAAAACGCTAGCATTTCTCATCCCGGTAAGAGTTCACGAAGGGAACTCTCTTTTTTTCTCACATACTTTTCTGGCTAGCTAGTCGAGAAACTATATCGTCTTCGCTGGAGGAGTGGCCACGGTCTCGCGGGTATCGTTATATCTCCAACGAGAGAGCTGGCCGAGCAGATCTTTTTAGAGCTTGGCAAGGTTGCAAAGCATCACAGGTTCTTGACGCGAGGCTTGCTGATCGGGGGATCTCACGACGTTGGGCTGGAGAGCAATCGCGTCGGGGAGCTGTGCATCCTCGTCGCCACTCCAGGCCGTTTGCTGCATCACTTGCACCAGACTGCCACTCTCGACTGCACCTATCTCCAGGTACCGCTTCAAAGTTTGTTCTTGCTCGAGCTCGGAGTGTAAGGATCTAACTTTGCAAGGTGCTTGTGCTGGATGAAGCCGATCGGATTCTCGACTCCGGCTTTGCGAGAGAGCTGACAGACATCTTGGCTGCCCTTCCGAATCAGCGGCAAACTTTGCTCTTCTCGGCGACGCAGACGCGCTCTGTCAGCGATCTCGCGAGGCTCAGCTTGCGTGATCCGGAGTACCTCGCCGTGCACTCCGAGTCCGCCGTGGCGACGCCAGCCACCTTGCAGCAAAAGGTGGTGATCGTCAAGCTTCACCGCAAGATAGAGACCTTGTGGCGGTTCATAAAAACGCGACTCTCTTCGAAGCTTTTGGTGTTCCTTTCGACCTGCACGCAGGTAAGTTGGCCCGTTTTCTTACATTTTCCACCACCTTTCCAAGCAAAGATGATGTGAATCGTCATTCTTCGCAGGTGAAGTTCGTGTACGGGGCTTTTAAGCACTTGCGACCTGGAGTTCCGCTCTCGTGTCTCCATGGCCGCCAGAAGCAAGGCAAGAGGGACCTGGTTTTCAGCAACTTCAATCAGGCCCGACCCTCGGTTCTCTTTGCGACTGATATTGCCGCGAGAGGCTTGGATTTCCCGGCAGTAGACTGGGTTGTCCAGGTACGTTGTTCTCTCGAGTTGTGTGATCTTAGCTGTGTTCTTTGTTTTTGGAGGTCGACTGTCCAGAAGACGTAGAAACTTACATCCATCGCGTCGGAAGGACTGCTCGTAACAAGCTCAAAGGCAAGAGCCTCCTGCTTCTGGATCCATCGGAAGTGAAAATGATAGAGCTACTCAGGCAGCACAAGATTCCTATCGAAGAGGCAGCGGAGGCTGCTCCGCGAGGGGAGTCTTGCGACTTGTCACAACAGATAGGCGCGTGGCTTTCCAAGGATCCCGGACTCAAGCACAGCGCCCAGCGCGCCTTTGTCACTTACGTTCGCTCGGTCGTCCTGCAGCGGAACAAGGAGGTTTTCAACGTTGGCAAGCTTCCGCTACCCGAGTTTGCGTTCTCTCTCGGCCTGGCGATCGCTCCCCGGATCCGGTTCCTGGGAAAGCAGGCTGCAAGCGTGAAGAATGAATCCCAGTCCTTGAAGAACGAGCTGGCGAAGTCGTCCTCTTCGTCTTCCAAGGTGGCCGGAGAAGTTAAGTCTTGCGCGGCTGATGAAGATGGCGACTTGTTCATGCGGCTGAAGAAACGGGGAAGGGACGTGATCAAGCCAGCAGCAGCAGCAGCACCAGGATCTGTGAAAGCGTAAGTTTTTGTTCGGAGTTTTAGAAGATGGCTCATTGTTTTCGTCTTGCAGACATAAGAAGACGAAGAGGCTAAAGATTGATGCGCGAAGTGGTACAGGGCAACGTCTGGTGTTCGATGAGGATGGAAGTAGCCAGGACGAGAGAGGAGGTAAAGAACTTTGGAGCTCCAACGCTCGAGTGATCTTGTTTAGATTTTGTAGGCGGTGTGGAAAGGTTTGATCGGGAGATCGCGGAGAGGTACAAGCGGTTGCAGCAGGAGATGAAGGAGAGGGACAGGCAAGACAAGGTTTTGGAGCGGCTGAGGCTGCGAGACAAGCGTCTCAAGCGAAAGGCGAGGGAGCGGAAGCTTGATCTTATTGACGAGGATATGTCGGAGCAAGGAGATGACAAACCGGAACTCCTCGACTCCTTGTCTCTAGCCGATCAAGAGGCCCTCGCTCTCAAGCTGCTAAGTCGATCAAACCATTGACGCTGGCGTTTTGTGTCTGCCACAAGAGGATCTAGTTTCGAGAAGAGAATTCGCTTTGCAAAGAACCTGTGATAGACGATCACGTCCACTTTGGTAACACGATGAGCATCTTTGTTGTCATCCTAGTCGAGAATAGTGTTAACGTTTGAAGTGATGGCTCTCTTTAGCTTGAGAAGCTCATCGATATCGCTCTGGACAACATCGAAGCCAACCTACAAGAAAAACGAAACTTGAGGTCCCTGAAGAGAAAAAGAAAAAACTAACCAGTCTAAAAACGCTGATGGCGCCAGTGCTGCCCCCGGCCAAGACGACTGGAGCGTCCTCCGAGAAGAGCAAGCACGAAAGCTTGGTATTCGCGAAAGGATATACAATGACGGGTTTCATCGCCGTGACAGCCATATCCCATATCTGTCGTAGAATCCGAGCTGAGAAAATTAGAAACAAGGATTTCAGTGCTTGCCTCTAAACGACCGTCGTCCGATACAGTCCCAAAAACGCACGAATGCTTGCAAGACCAGCGAATGTCGCCGACGCTTTCATTTGCAGTCTGGAAAACCAGCAATGCGCTTTCCTGCACTGAACATTCCATCCATTTGTATCAACGTAGACGCATCTATACGCAACGGCTTACTTGTTCTTCGCGCCAGAGCCGAACGCTCCAGTCGCTGCTACAGCTCAAGAAAATATATGGCAAAACGGTGGACCATCTAACCTGCAAACGAGATGAATCAATCACACATATATAGATAGCGGCATTTTGTTTACCTGAAAAACGGGTCCGGTGTGTCCTACGTAGCTTTGCAAGTATTGTTCGTTATAAGAACGACTACATTTGTGAATCAGTCCCTCCTCGGTCCCTACCAGATACAAGCTGGAATAGCAAAGCACACATTTATGACCAATTCGAGCACAAGAAAAGTACGTCGAAGTACCTTGGGTCCCGAGGAGAGAAATCAAAGCATAACCCTGCTGCATGACGGGATATGAATGGTTGTGGTTGTGCTCCTTTGCTATGAGCCATAATCTTTTTGAGTCTCATCAAATTGACGAACTCCAGATCCTATATTTGCGGTTAAGTTTCGCGGAGGAAACACCAAAAAAAACTAACCTTTTTCAAAGACCACTGAGAAACTCTACCGTCGGTTGAAATAGATATAAGCGTCTCTCCATGATCAGAAGTAGCATCAATCCATTGTAGCTTCCAAACAGGATCGTTATGCTTCCCCGTGGAAGCTCCTGTTTGCATCAACGGTTCCCGTTCCTTGTAATTCTTTGCATCATATACAGCCACATTCCCATCGTAAAAGCCAACTGCATAAAAAACGCCAATGAAGTCAGTTCAAAACAATCAGTAAGCGTACTGTTACCTGCAAGAAGGTTGGGACTATTTGTAGAGAAATCCAAGGCTGTGACATCAGAATGTGTTGGTATGGTTGCGTGAGGGTATCTCGGATTTTTTAAAGACCAAAAGGCTATAAGACCGCCCTTTTGCGTCCCGAACTCAAACTCTCCGTATCCGACAGTAAGGAGATCCCTACTGGTCTGCGAAAAACGTGCAACAATGTCGGTAAAAAATGGGAAAGGCAAAACCTCTCGCACCTTGTTCCACACCATACAGCTGACATTCCTCCCTTCCGTAAGGTCGCACTGGAAATCCCAAAGTTTGTGGACTTGTTCTGCTGAGAGAACATCGCCGCTGGTACCATTACTGCTGGGAGACGAGGACGCACTTTTTGTCTGAGATACCGGCGAACTAGAGCTGCTATATTTCCGTGGCATAATCCGCTTCTGTTCTCTTGGTTTAAAATCTCGGTAGAACAAAAGCTGCAAAGACACTTGGAGGCCTTAGCAGAAGTATCGAAATAACGTCAAGATAATTACCTTGTCATGAAAAGTGTTCAAAACGACTGCTCTCTCGGCGATTTCCAAGGCTTTGACAAGTCCGGCCAAGCGATTGATATCCACCTTTCGGCTAGCAAACATGGTGAGAGTCATAAGCTCTTCCGCCCCAAGCATGCCTTCGCCACCAGCTCTCTGCATAGTGTTTGAGATTATGGAGCTTCTTCTCTGTGTTCCCATCAAGCTTCCACGGCCGGATAGCCTACGATTGAACATAATGCTGCCGCTTATCGATTTCTCAATACTTCCCCTTCGCGAGGTTGAAAAGCTTCCTCGCCGTGAGGGTGATATGCTCGCAGTAGTAGAGCCTCTTCTCGACGGTGCAATGCTGCCTAGTCCCGATCCTCTTCTAGTTGAAGGATCTATACTTAACAGTCCAGACTCCCTTCGGGATGGAAATCCACCAATTCCAGACCCTCTTCTTGAACCGGGTAGATTCAAATTTCCAGACATTCTTCGACCCTGTGAATGTGATTTTAGATAAAAACTGCAAACAGTCTTTTACATACCTGTAATAAGGGAGGAGGCTCACTAGCTTCTTCCAAGTATCCCGCAGATACAAGATCAGCAACACTCTTTCTGTGGTCAGCGGTTTGTTCGGATTCGTCGTCGTCCTCAGTTTTCAAAGGATCAACTTTTTCTTCTTTTACATTGCCGGAGTAAGAATCTGAGATGTCCCATGAATTTGCCTGTCAACTGGCAGAAATGTGAATGAGTTGTACATCAAAAAGTAACATGCCGAAGGAACAACTTGGCACCTGACACTCTTCAGATTGTTTTGGCAGTGCAAAAAACTGCGCCTCCTTGCATTTTTGCAAGCTCAAAGCCGTTTGAGCGCTGGAGTCCGAGTAGTTATCGCTACCTATTTTAGCCTGTAGACAAGAGCACGCTACACTATATTTAAGAATTAAAAAGCTGAAAGTAAAGAAATGTAGCTTACTTCCAAAAGATTTTTGTATCGAGCATTTCGCTCCAAAACTTGTTTGATTGTATCGTAAGTGTTTGACACACTCTCGCCTCTTAAATTGATTAGAACAAGTGTTTCACTCTCCACCAGATTCACGGTTATATTTCTTGCAAGTTCCTGCTCACATTGAGAGGTAAGAAAGATATTAGAAAATTAACGTGCCTAACCTGTTCCGTTGGAGGTGGCGCAATGCTAGTCGTGACAATTTCGATACGCTGTGTCCTGACCGGCAAAGCCTCTTGTGGAACTTGAGGAACACTCGATCGTCGGCCACCACCCTCTGCAGAAGGTTCTTTCTCAAGGCCATCCTCGGCTTCAAGATCCGGAGTGAGAGTTCCCAAGCTACTGCTGATTGAGTATCCAGTGCGGCTGTAAGCAAAAAAATCTTTAGATAGAACAACGACTGAAACGCCTTCTAAAGACCACTTGAACTGGACCTGAAGGTAGATACTCTTTCGGAATCAGGAGAAAACCGCTCAGGTGGAGCTTGCAACAGTCTCTCGTGCAGTACAGTCGGCCTTAGAGATACTAATGGTTTCGGTGTGACTTCTTTGCCATTCTCATCAAAGACCTAAGCGAAAGAGTTTCACAGACTTTCATACTTCGCAAGCAGCTCTATGACAATAAGCAGGCCAAAAAAAAAAAAACATACCTGGATCACCTCTGGCTCATTCTCGCCTCCTTTGATATTCCTGCGCGTCCCTCGCCCGGCTCGAGCAGTAGAACGAATGCTCTTGGTGCTCTTTCTGCAACAAGGGGAAATAAGTGCGCTGCATTCTCTAAATCTATTGCGCGAGCAATCCATGGCGCGAGCATTGCTTACTTGGACGTGAACGAAACCTGAGAGCTAGCCGAGAGCCGCCTGGATCGCATCGACGAGACCGATCCAGCGACCGACGCGGTTCCATCGCCACCTCCTCGCTTGAATTTCTCGAGCGCGAGGCCTAGAACAGAGGGGCTGAGCGACGGCCGCATCTGCGACAGCGATCCCCGCCTCCCGCCATCGTCATCCATGTCGCAAGACGATCTTCCCTCCCAAGAGCCCTAGAAATATTTCCCTGTTCTCTAGAACCCTAAAATTGCAGGGGATAACTACTTGGTCAACCAGTCAACTCCGTTATACTAACGGACCCCGTGGAAAATGTAGCGCGCTCCGTTTGGTAGACGGAGCAAAGTTTCCGTTAGTTTAGACCAAGTGTGTCTCGAGCTGGCCGGCCCTCATTCATTCATGCATTCAATAGTGGTGTAGTAGTGTGCTCTTGTCAAAGGGTTGTTCTTCCTCCCATCAGGGTTTGGTGGATCGCGCCATTGATCGATCGATCGGCGCTAGGGTTTGGAGGAAGCAGCGCATCTCTCAAACGGTGAGTCCGGGGGGCCATTTCGCGGATTTCTCGCGAGAAATCCGCGAGTTTCGGGCGTGGGAATGCGCGCGCGGCACTGGCCAGCGATGATCGATGGGACAGGCAGCCTGAGCAGGGAAGCTAGTGAGAATGCGTAGGAGGAAAGGGAAAATTTCCAACTGGAGCCTGGGAATTTTCATCGATCCTGCCAGTGATGGATTTGCCGGCTCTTGGATGGAAGTAGAGATTTCTAGCAGTGGTGTGGGATGGGGCAGTGCTACGGCAAGGTTGCCGTGACCGAGGATTCCAAGCCCGAGGAGAAGGAGGCTTCTTACGCTAGGCAGGATTCCCGGCAAGGAGCTGCGTCTCCATACTCGGTTAAGTCCCATTCTTCTCCATTTCCTCCGGCGAGTCCGCTGCCCAAGTTTGCGAATTCGCCATTCCGGAATTTCGGTACCTCTCCGGCAACTCCAAGGCGATTTTTTCGACGACCATTTCCACCTCCTTCTCCGGCGAAGCACATCCAGGCTGCTCTCGCCAAACGGCATGGGACTGCCAAGCCGAAAGAAGGATCCATTCCAGAGGGAAGCGATGTGGAGAAGCCTCTCGATAAGAACTTTGGGTATGGGAAGAACTTCACGTCAAAGTACGAGCTGGGACACGAGATTGGCCACGGTCACTTTGGGCATACTTGTCTGGCGAAAGTAAGGAAGGGGGAGATGAAAGGTCAGTCGGTAGCAGTGAAGATCATAGCCAAAGCTAAGGTACTTATCCTCGTTGTCCATAAGGTAACAGTGGAAATAATTTATTTTGACTGGTGTCTAGATGACAACAGCGATCTCAGTGGAAGATGTGCGAAGAGAAGTGAAAATACTCAAGGCTCTCTCGGGTCACCAGAATCTCGTCCGGTTTTACGATGCGTGCGAGGACAATCTAAACGTCTACATAGTGATGGAGTAAGACTTGTCTCTCACTGAATCGGTTTCTTTTTTTTTTTTTTTTGTCTTAAAAACTTTCTCGGTTATCAGGCTTTGCGAGGGAGGAGAACTCCTTGATCGGATATTATCAAGGTTTGTTTTTGTATTTTAGTTCGTTGTCAGTAAGCTGATCCAGTTTATTGTAATCAGGGGAGGGAAGTACACTGAAGAAGATGCTAAGGTCGTAATAGTACAGATTTTAAGCATTGTTTCGTTTTGTCACCTACAAGGTGTTGTTCATCGAGACTTGAAGCCGGAGGTAATTTTGTTTTCTCTCTCCAAATGTGTTCGTTTATACCTCGGCTGTAGAACTTCCTCTTTACGACTAAGGACGAGAATGCAACTTTGAAAGCTATTGACTTTGGGCTATCAGATTTCATCAAGCCAGGTACGATGCAGCGTTTCGTTGCATTGAAGATATGTTTGTTGACTTGCCTTCATTTTATCATTCCAGAGGAGCGGCTAAATGACATTGTTGGAAGCGCTTACTATGTGGCTCCCGAGGTCCTTCACAGGTCTTACAGCACAGAGGCAGACGTTTGGAGCGTTGGTGTTATAGCTTACATCCTTCTTTGCGGCAGCCGTCCATTTTGGGCAGACACCGAGTCGGGAATTTTCCGAGCGGTGATTCAAGCGGAGCCGAACTTTGTTGATAAACCATGGCCGACCGTTTCTCCCGAGGCTCAAGACTTCGTGAAGCAGCTTCTTCACAAGGATATGAGGAAGAGGATGTCAGCAGCGCAGGCTCTCAGTGAGTTTCATCTTTCTCTGTTTTTCAGTCAGGTACTGACTAGTTCTTGTGTGCTGGACAGCCCATCCTTGGATACGTGGGAACCATAAGGTGCCATTGGATATGCTCGTGTACAGATTAGTGAAGGCATATCTGCGCGCATCTTCTCTCAAAAGAGCAGCATTGAAGGTACTGCGCAAGTTAAAGTTCTGTGAGGATCTTAAGTTTTCTCTCTAGGCGCTGTCTAAAACCCTGACAGAGGATCACATGTATTATTTGCGATGCCAATTCGCGTTGTTAGAACCAAACAAAGGAGGGCGGGTTTCGTTCGAAAACTTCAAAACTGTAAGCTCATGTGGATTTCACAGCTCTCTCTGTGCTTAAGACGGTTTTTTCCCCGTGACAGGCCTTGATGCGTAGTGCCACTGAGGCCATGAAGGAGTCGCGGGCGTTTGAGATCCTTTCTTCCGTCCGTTTCTTCCAGAAAACATGATATCTTATACTAACAGTCGCTGTGACAGATGGACGCTCTGGCTTTTAAAAAGATGGACTTTCAGGAGTTCTGCGCTGCGGCAATCAGCGTGCATCAGCTGGAAGCGTCCAGTGGCTGGGAGACTTTGTCTCGCACAGCCTACGATACATTTGACAGGGAAGGCAATCGCTTGGTTATCATCGAAGAAGTTGCTCGGGTACGCCAAAGTTCTAGTTTTTTATACTTGGTTCTTGCTTTTCAATGCGAAACTTTCTTCGTTTGCAGGAGGTAGGCCTTGGACAAACAGTCCCCGCTCATCTAGTATTGCGTGATTGGATTAGAAGTGATGGGAAACTTAGCTTGATTGGATTTAAAAAGCTGCTTCACGGTGTCACGTCGAGGGCTCGCTCCAGGTTGCAGTAACTTATAGAAGCAAGCAAGCAAGAAAAAAGTGAAGAACAAGAGCGAGAGAGAGAGAGAGAGAGAGAGTTTCCAAATTCTTTGGGAGGGGGGGAATTGAGATCGATGGTAGCTTCTCCATTTTATAGTGATGGAGGGACGCCTGGCATAGATCATAGATTGTTTATCTAGCTAGATATGATACAGGGAAGAAGAAGGAATTTCCAGGCGCTCAAAGTTTACATTCTTTGGAGATTTGGCGGAGATTTGTGTCAACCACCAATGTGACACGTAAGCAGAGAAGGAAAACGTGGAAGTTTCGAGCGTTGAGATATCGCATTCCTGTGCCAAACGATCCACAGTAATTAAACTTTACATTTTTTTGGCACACCACCACCTTGTGATGGAGGATTGTCGATTTCTTTCGTGATGTTTCCAGTGAATTTCTACGCACGACTTTCTTCCTGCTCAGTCCCACCAGAGAAAAGAAAAAGCGATTAAATTCGAGAAAGCGAAAACTCGATGAAGAGTTTTATACTCACCAGGAAGGAATGATCACAGCCTCCACAAGCAATAAACAAGCTTTTCCTTTACATCTAAGACTTGCATTAAAAAAAAAGGGTAAAGAATCCTTTTTACATGTATACTACCCATGGCCATTTTATTCTCCCTAAGCACACACTCCCAAAAACGAGACTTTTTGTTTTTGTATACTTATCTACAGACTGTCCTGACTCTTTTGTTGAGAAGATCTCAACACACACACACAGACAATACATACACTCACAACACAGTATAAGGAGAAAGAATGTCGAGTACCTGGGGCTACGTCTCAAAAGTCTCACCATCTTCGGGCTCTTGATCTGGAATCATGGTCATTAGCATGTTTACCTGGCCCTGGAGCATGCTGTTCTCTCGCTCCATCTGAGCACGCTTCGTTCTCTCCTGCTGGAGCTGCATTTGGAGGTGCTCCATCGTCCTCGAATCCTCCTCGAGTTGCTCGTTTAGCTCAGTGATCTCCCGGTCCTGGATCACAAAGTATATCAGAACCAGCGGCAAACTCCGAGAAAGGAAAGAAGAAAAGAGCAATGCATGGAACAAGCAGTGCATGGATAAAGCTAGCAAAGCACACCAACGAACGAGAAAACGAACCTTGCGGTTCATTTCTTGCACGGCAATGCGTCTCATGCTCTCCACCACATCAACATTGACAAGCTTCCTCTTCTTGCCAATCACCCAACCTCGGGGATACGTCGCCGTCTCGAAGTCTGGAGGGGGGAGGAAGCTCTCGAGCGATGATCCCTGCGCTTGTCGACCCGTGGAAGGCGCAAGAGGCTCGTAGAGAGCTCTCTTTCTGTCTGTCAACGGGAACTCGTCCTCTAGAACGATGTTGCTATCGTCCTTGTCTAGTTTCTTACTCGCTGATAGCCTCAACTTTGCCGGTTTTCTCGATCCCAGAGGTGGTGTATGGATCATAAGTTCCTCTGGAAAGCATTTGCCAACCAGTAAGATCATAAGCTACTTATGAAACACAATGAGAAACTTTCAAGCAACTTGGCCTAGAAAGAATTGTGAAAGAAAGAAGGAAAGACTAGCAAGCAAGCAACGCTCCAAGAAAGCAAGGAGAAGAAAAAAAATCTTCCAATGCATGGATAAGTACCTGGTTTTCCGGAAGTAATTTTGGGATCGATTTCCATTGGCTTGGCTGCTACTTCCAGCGCCATCTCCCTAAAGATTTACCAATCCCACACACACAATCAGCACATTTTCTTTGGCTGCCGAAGGAAATCCCAGCGCAATGGCGGCTGCCGCGAGCTCGGAATCACCAGTGTAAAATGCCGAGAAAACCCTATGCCTTGCCGACGAACCTGGCCCAAGGGATCTAGCTCGCTAGCGCCTCCATGGAAGGAATCGAATCGTAATCCGACCGATGCACGCCGCAGGGGATCAGGGCTAGCGGGACGGGACTGAGAGTGGCACGAAGAAGTAAAAAGGAAGCCCAATGTGCGCTGTTGAACGCTTACTTTCCACGCGAGCTGGCGCATCGCGACCGTTGAAAGGAATTGCGACAGGGATCTGAGCCGTCGATAGATAGGGTGGTTGGTTCAAGTACTAACTAGTGGAATATCCGTATTTAAGAATAAATTTGGATATATATCAAACGGCGGTTTATATAATACATTATTAATATTAACATAACTATCATATTTTCAAATGTATAGTTATGGTATTGTATATTATTATTAGCATAATGAATTTTGTGATTGGTTTCAATCCAAACCACTCATTCTTCTATATAAACTTTCATTGAATATACAATGTTCAAATAGTTTTAAAATTTGGCGGAATAATTTATTGAATCACATTGATGATACTTTGAAAAATAACTTACTGTAAGTACATTTGGTTGATAAGTAGTTCTTTTAACTTAGCCTCCAGAAAATCATTTATTTTTGGGAAATTTGTGTTGTGTAATAATATGTATTTTATTTATATTTATACAGGAACTTCCTATGATACCAGTTCATATATAAATTTAGATAATATAGATTAGAATATTTTCTAAATATCTATGGCTTTAGTTGTGCAAATCATTTTTACATTGCAATTGATCCTCTTGCTAATTCCATGTTCTTATACATATGGGTTGGAAAATGTAAAATCCAATAATATCACTCTTAATAATGCTAAAAATCCTTTCATGACCACAAATAAGACCATATTATGAATGAATATAAGTGACATTTCTAAAAGCGTGGATGAAATACCAGATGTAAGTCATGTTTTGCTTCTATTGCTTTTACTTATAAAAGTTTGTGACATTTTCCAGTTTGTATGTGGGAGATTTGAAGCAACATGTACTAATATCCATCTGCATGTTTATAAAGCTTTAAAAATTATAATACTTGCAGCAAAATGTGATTCTGGGGATGGTGGATATGGGAATGTAATGTTGGATATTAATAATGGTATAAGTAACCAATATAGAAGGCCAAATAGAAGAAGTGATTTCACTGACTCTTGCAATATAGATTCTGTTCAGCTACATGGTTCAATTTTTTGTAGCAAGTTGTATGAATAAAGATTGTTATCTAGATACTTCTTATCTCCACTTAAACTTCCTTGTGATGAATGTTTTTGGCTCTTTGTTCTTTTGCCCTTTACCATCTCCTAGAATTGAATTGATTTATTTTCTATTTTATTATTAAGATTTGTGAGGGCTAAGTGTACGGCTATGATGCTGTATACTAATATTAGCATAGTGGGATTTTGGTAGTCGTTAGATCTCGCTTCTATATATAAACTAGTTTTTTGGGCTAATTGATATACACATTTTTTGTATTCCCTTTCCATATTCCAAGCACTCACATTGCTAGAGGTGAGAGGCACTTTTAATTGTCCTTGAGGAGTGTTTGGATTTAGGATTTTGGTTTATATCTAGCTTTTGCATCGTCTAGATCTAATTTTTTCCATTTCTTTTCTTTTGTTCTTTCATTTCAGAGTTTTGATTTAGATTTAGCTTTTTGCATTGTCTAGATCTATCATTTCCTTCTAGCTTTTTATCATTTCTTTTCTTTTGCTCTTTCTTTTTTGTTCATCTTCATGGCAGATCAGCAATCTCCTCCTCTGACTCTAGAGCAATAGTTGGTACAATTGCTTGATGCTATGCGTTTGCAATTGAACAACCAAACTCAGTTGATGGTAGTGTTTATGGCATGTGGTACAACTCCTCTTGCTCTTGGTGCCAATCCTCACGTTTGGTCGGAGTTCTTTTGCAAGAATCTTGGGGATGATGTGTATTATTGGTTCGATCACTTTACGGTGATTGCCCCATATCATTTTTGGGATGATACTTGAAATTTGTGTGAGTTTCCCATGTGTCATCAAGGGACGGCGTTGCAGTGGTACAAGGGTTTGAGTGTAGCCATTTGTGGGGATTAGAGTGTTCTCCTGGACATCTTCAAATGCACCTTCGAACATGCCGACGACTGTGATGATGCTTTTCAACAATTGCATCATCTTCGCCAAAGGCCATCTGAATCAGTGATGCAATTTAGCGTTTGTTTTCGAAGTCTTTTGCTTCGTGTAGAGCCAAATATGTCGAAGCAGATCAAGTTAGGAATGTTGTGGCCAGCACTTCGTCAAGATCTTGTTGGACTTGTGCATGCACTTGCTCTTGCCACCCTTGACGATGCTCTTCGCTTGGCACAACATTATAAGACGTCACCTCTTCCATTTCTCGCTGCACATCCTTCCATTCCACTTCCTACGGGTGATGGTCCTGTTCCAATAGAGGTTGATGCTACTGTTGCTCGAGTCCAAAGACAAGCGTAAGGACGTGGTCGTGGCCATGATGTTCGCTGCTGGGCGTATGATGAAGTTGGTCATACTTATCAGCGTTGTCGGCATTTTCTGGATTGGTGACCTCCATTTCCTGGGTGGAGACCTTGGCGTCAGCAACGTCCCGTTAGTGCTATTGCAGTGGAAGGTCTGGACACTGAGATGCATCCGGGAAACAAAGAGTCACACGAGTAACGGATGGACCTTGCGTGAGGTTCATTCAGTATTTACTTTCAAGGCTCATTTTTATAACAAAAGGTCTCCTATTATTCTCTCCGTGTTAGTTGATACAAGTTTATCTTCTATTGCTCGACCTGTTACCACAAGTTGTTGTCTACACTTGCGTCGTGTGGCGGAACCAGTTTTCATTCTTTATGGCAATAACCATACACATGCATATGCACGGGATGAAGCGGACCTGGTTGTGCATGTAGGCGATCTCGAATTTGAGTTGCAGTCATTGCGGGTGGTGCTGAGTCAAGCTTTTGACCTCATTCTTGGTATGGATTGATTGCTAAGTGTGACTTTGAGGATTCTCCCCCTTGTCTTATACTTCCTTATGTTTCATCTATTCCTCTCACTTTTGTACCTCTTTGTTTTTCTACTTCTACCTCTGCTTCTATTACTTTTGTTCCCCCACTATTTCCTTCTGTGTTTCCCTTTTGTTCTGCTTTTCCCTTTTTTGATTCCTCCGACGATGTTTGTGTTGCAGCGGTTGACCAGCTCATGAAGGAGTATTCTGATCTCTTTGAATTTGACCTATTGTCTAGGGCCAAGATTGCCACACGTCATCCGATTCTAACCGAGGATGTTCGTCCAATCAAGGTTCCTATTTGTCGTCGGTCACCCAAGGAGATCAAGATTTTACATGCAAACGTCAAAGAGATGTTAGAGAAGGGTGTTATTCGAAAATTGTAGAGTTCTTGGGCATGTGAACCTCATCTTGTGACAAAGCCTGATGGGAGTATTCGTTTTTACATCAACTATCGTCCGTTAAATGAAGTAACGATCCCAGATGTGTACCCTTTTCCTCATACTATTGATCTCTTGGATCGTCTAGGGCAAAGTCATTGGTTCACCAAGCTAGATCTTGCTTTTGGGTATTGGTAAGTACCGATGGCTGAAAAAGATATTCCTAAGACTACTTTTCATACACCATTTGGTTTGTACAAATTCTTGGTGATGCCATTTGGTTTGAACAATGCTCCAGAAACTTTCCAGCAGATGATGGACGAGGTTCTTTGTGATATGCCAGAGGTGACTACTGACTTCATTGATGATGTCTTGATCCACTCGGAGGGGATGTGGGAAGAGTATGTTTGTGATGTTTGTAAAGTGTTGCATGTTTGGGTCCAAAGACACAACTTATCTTGGGCATTGAATTTCTCATGAGGGTTTGCAAGTTGATCTTGACAAACTTGTGGCTGTTTTAAAGTTCCTTACTCCAAAGTGTGTGAATGATGTGTAGCGCTTCCTTGGTAAGGTGCAATATCTCGGTCATTTTGTGGATCAACTTTTTAATTACACTACACTATTGCAAGCATTGCTGAAGTCATCAACATCATCTTTAATCTTGTCTCTGGATGGTGAGTGGGCGTTTGTGGATCTCAAAAAACTATTGACAACTCCTCTAGTTTTGGCATATCCTGACTACACTTGACCAATTATTTTGTGTATGGATGCTTTTGACATTAGTCTTGGAGGTGTGTTGATGCAAGAGAGCTTGAGTGTGCCTGGTTAGTGCCATCCCATTGCGTATATAAGCCATACATTACAACCAGCGGAGATGAACTACTCAACAATAGAGAAGGAGTTTTTAGCAGTAGTCTGGGGTTTCGAGAAACTTCATGCATATCTACATGGTTCTCGGACGTTATGTGAAGATGACCGTGCTGTTGTTACTTCATTATTGAAGCGGAAGAACCTGGTTGGTTATACTACTCAATAGACTT